GTCAGCTGATTCTCCGGTAAGCACGGAGAACCGTCGTGTTTCGAAGCCAACACGTCGTAGGTCAAGAGCCTCCCGTCGTGCACCAACTACACTTTTCAATACCGACACAACCAACTTCAGAGCTATGGTCCAACAGTTCACCGGGGGTCCATCCGCCGTGGCTTTCGGGTCTTCTTCTTCATTGTCTCCGAGTTTTAGTTTCACCGCCGGAGCTTCTTATCAAGATCCTTGGCAGCAATACGCTAATTTGCCAAACCAAATGGCTCATCATCAGGAGCTGACACAAGAACAGCGACCGTACATGTCGTCGTCGCCAAACCACGTTAGTTATCCTAACACGGTGGTTTCCGATGGTTTTGTGGCGGCGGATGAAAGTAGAGGAGGAGGAGAAGGTTCTACTCCGTTGTCGGAGAGGAATAGTAATATGACTTCATGGTTGCAATGAGGAAAGTCATGTAGATTATATCTTATTACTTCTTTATTTATATTTTTCCACAAAGTAAACATAAAACGAAGCATTATGGCCTCTTGGACTCGTGAGATTCAATCCGAAATGAATTTGCGGGAAACTTTTGCCAAAGAATATGTTCATCTTTAGATTAGTCGAATTTGAGTCGGACACGAGTGCTAATGAATAAATAAAAAAGAACATAAAAAGAAGAAATGTTAGGTACTGACTTTGTTTGTAGCAGGATGAAAACTTTGACCATTGTAATTTTTTATAAGTTGTGTTTTGTTTATTTTTCATATTTTGAGGATCTCTCTTTGTTTTACAATATTTTTGTATACGCCTAGATTATATTGAATAAAGTTTATATTGCATTTACCAAGTTTCAATTGATACAACGTAAATTCAATAGTAAAAAGCTCATTTAGAAAGGAACGTAACTGTTAACTCAACGTGATCATATGGACAAAAATATTCATTTTTCGACTACAAAATTATGTTTAGAAAAAAATTATGTTCTTTGTCCAAAAAAAAAAAAAAAATTATGTTCTTAGTTCTTTTCCCTCAACATGTTCCTAGTTTACTTATATACTTTGTATCCTAAATCCGTGCTGGATCAACTATCGGCTTCTATGTAACTATGTTATATATGGACATTCATATACTTTTATGAATTAAAATAAGTACTATGTTATGGACATTCATATACTTTTATGAATAAAAGTAAGGGTTAAAAATAATCGTTGGTTTAGTTTTAAAGTAATTCTTTTACTTATCTTATAAGTTTGTCTGATATCCCAAATGATATATGTACTAATCTTATAATATATAGGTTTATACTTTTATATATGCTTGATTACTTTTTAAACTATATGGGATCTATCATCCATGATTTGGTTGAGTGTGTGAAAATAACTTTTGAGAACTAAATTTAGAACTTCTTTTTGTTAAAGACAATAGTTTGGAGTATCATATGACTTGTACATGAAAAGTTGTGATTGTCTTTTTCTTTTTCTTTCAATGTGACTAACTTTAAGAAAAATATTAGTTGGCTTTTGCAATTTAATGAAGAATTTTCTCAAAAGAACGAATTAGAAGAATAAAATAAATGACTTTGCCGTTGCCTTCGTTCGGAAACCGGGGAAAGTGAGTTGGTGAAGGTAGGCAACCAACATGCAAAGAACGAAGTCTCACGTGATGCTTTTCTCTTTTCTTTTCTTTTTTCCATTAATCTCACAAATTTAAAAGTGGTTTATATTGGAAAAATAAATCGAGTCACAAAGAAGAATTAGAAACACACGATGGAGGGCCCAAATTTACAATGATATTTTGGAGAGAATAATCATTAATTTCAGAAAATATTCTCTCCAAAACGCTGATAAGATTTCAAATATTTTTTTACCATTTATGTCTGTCTATAGTGGTCAAATAGAGCGTTAACAATGAAAATCTGTATTTGGTGAGATTACTTTGGCCTCAACCCACAAAATGAATCTTTAAACTTCCACTGCTTTAATTTCAAACCCTTGAGGTGTTATTATCTCTCTTTTTTCTTTCTTATGGTACTTAATCTTACTTTGACAAAAAAACAACAACGCCATAATTAGGTGTATTCTCTCTCTATGTTTTTGTTATGGTACTTAATCTTTAGTTCTCACGTGTGCGTGTTAGGCAACAAATATACTAGGACTAATATTCTTCCCTCAACACGCTCTAAAAAAAGCTTATTACCTCATTCAACAAAGTTAATGTAGAGGTCGAAACCAACGCAATTTAATTTGTCAGGGTTTTGGGGAATATACAAAATCTCTGATAAAGAATCACGAAAACAGAAAAAAACAAAGACAAAAACACAAAAATTGCTGTAAGAGAGTTTTATTGATTTTTGCTAAATGTTCATGTGTAAAAGCTGTGAATCCCTTTTACAAAGGAGTTACAAGAGTATATATACAAGTCTAAGTCACATAGGGTTTTTACTAAGTAAATCAGGAAGATTTCCTTATTTCTCGAGATTTCCTATCCTTATTTCTCGAGATTTCCTATTATCAAAGTCGGCGCTCGCCATGGGTTTCGTCGTCTTGGGGTTTTCCTCGTCATCTCACCACCTTGGGCTTGTAGACCTCAGCCCACTTCTTTGTAGTAGGCCAAATGGGCTGATTCAAGCCATTCACGACCAAATGCCGAGCTCTCTAGGTCGTCGGCACCGGCGAGGTGCCGAGCTCTTCAGGGCGTTAGGGCGACGGCATCGGCGACGGTGTCGAGATCTCCAAGGCGACGGTGTCAGCAGTTCTAGGCTTGTAGTCGTCGTGCCAGTCGTCTTCAGAGTCAGTCATCGGCAGAGACAGTAGTCGGCGGTTGCCGAGCTCTCCGAGACGGCGTGGTCGGTAATCGCCGAGCTCTCCGAGGTATATTGCTGACTAAACCATCATCACCATTTACTTTCTCGTCTTGGGGTTTGGTAATCATTGGACTTGACTCCTCTTCAGCACAAGTAAATTCTCTTCAATTTTTCCTTACAGATTAAACAAAAGTCAAAGGTTAGGAATAGCATGAGGAAGCTCGCGACCATGTCTCCTCACAAGGAACAACAGTAGCGAGTCTCACGACCCTGTCTCCTCAGAAGAAACAATACTAGTGAGCGCTATTCTTAACTGTAACGGAAAAACGTTCACGACCCTGTCTCCTCACAAGGAACAATAGTAGTGAAGACCGTTACGAGATTTAAGTACAGAAAAGTCGATATAAAAAACAAAATT